TTTGTTCATACATTAGAGCGCATGTATTAATGCTAATTCGAAAACTTGCTTACGATTTATATTCTATATGCTACAGTTTTGTTTCTACGTTGTGTGAATTAACAGCCAGTAAAATAAAAAAGTGCTTTAGATATAATAAACGACAATTTAAAAGTAAAAATTGCAAATATGTGTGAGGACATGGAAAATTAGCGGTGAAATCAAAGCTGGTTTATGCATAACTCAAATTTGAATGCAACACAGCGGTGCTGATAATGTGAGTGTCCAATATAAAGTTTTTACGCATTTTCGAGTCTGGGAATTAGCTATTTTGTGACATTTGACACACACAAATTGTTATGGACACATACAAAAAAAAATTGAGAATAAAGTGAATGTAGAATAATTGCGAAAAAAGTATATTTCATGTGAATATTATAAATAATTAAAACCTAGTTAACATATTTAGATAAATGAACGCAATTAAACTGCAGACTTAGACAAATATATAATGATCATTATACATGAACATATAAATTCAGTAGTCAGACAGTAGCAGTGTGCAATAATCAAGTGCTATTCAGGGCGTTTAATTGCGATGCCAAAATAAAAGCAAGCTCTTCAAGAGTTATGTTTGAATAGATTTTTAATGCATGTACATATGTATGTGCGTTAATAATTGGTAAATTTATATGCAAGATTTTCTGTAAATTGCCAGTAATCAAAGTTGCAGCAGCAGCCAAGTAAAATTTTCTACGTTGCTTCTTTGTTGGCAATTTACCATCAAAGCCAGGCTCAGCCGTAAACGAAACAAAGTGTGCTCATGTAAAATATTCATATGTAAATGCTATTATTTGACGAAAAATTGTTGGCTTCTACAAACTACTATATGCCAAAAGAAACAAAGTAAACTAAAAACAAAAAAGAATCAGCAATCATCAACAACTATATTCAAAAAATATATCCAAATAGAGAAGCCACGACATCAAATATAAACCGATAGAGCAACAGATATGTATAAATATATATTTATATATATAAATATATATATATATATCTGTAGCTACATATGCTAGTTATGAAAACAAATACTTAACAAGTTGACTATTGCTGCTTCAATTGCTATGCATTTTGCTTAAAGTACGCGTACTTTGGTTCGAGTTTGTCGCTTAAGTCTTTTGTATCGAGTGGAGTGTGCTGAGTGTTGACTGCTGAAGGTGACTTTTTGGGCGGCACTTGAGCGTGCTGTCACAGCTGTTGAGGCATGTGGTTTCGATTGTTTTGCAGACAATTGACTTTGTTATTATTTTAAGTTGTATAATTTTTCTAACTTGAAATTCTCTTGCGCTGTTTACCACTTTTGTTTTGTAAAAGTGCATTTGCTTAAAAATGTTCAGAAAAGACGACAGAAAAGGATGACAATTATTAAAATAAATACTATTAAAATTACTGTTTCACTCTGTAGATCTTTAAGCTTTAAGAAACTATTTTTGAATATATATTATTGTGATTTTATAAACATTAAACGACTATTCAAAACAAGATTTAGTTAGGTATTGATAAATTAAGATAATTTAATAAGAAGAGCTTAGAAAAAAATAATGATAAATTTAAATGAAATGAAAATATAAATAAATAAATATATTAAAAAATTAATAAATAAATAAATAGCTAAATAAATAAATAAATAAATGGACAAACAAATAAATAAATAAATATATAAAAAACTAACAAAAACATAAATTAATAAAAAAACAAAAAAAATATATAAATAGAATAAGATATAAATATTTAATAAATAAAAAAATAATTAATAAATAAATAAATAAAAAAGTAAATAAATAAAAAAATAAATAAATAAATAAATAAATAAATAAATAAGTATATAAATAAACAAACAAATAAATAAATAAAAAGATAAAAAAATATAAATAAATAAATAAACAAAGAAATAAATAAATAAATAAATAAAAAGATAAAAAAACATAAATAAATAAATAAACAAAGAAATAAATAAATAAATAAATAAATAAATAAAATAAATAAATAAAAAAATAAAATAAATAAATAAATAAATATTTAAATAAATAAATAAATAAATATTTAAATAAATAAATAAGTAAATAAATAAAATAAATAAATAAATAAATAATTAAATAAATAAATAAATAAAAAAATAAATAAATGAATACAAAAATAAGTAAATAAATAAATATATAAATAATTAAATATATAAATAAATAAATAAATAAATAAAGAGATTAAAAATATGTAAATATATAAATAAATAAATAAAAAAATAAATAAATGAATACAAAAATAAATAAATAAAATAAATAATTAATAAATAACTTAGTAGATATGTACATTTTTCAACTTCAATCCAAACCATGGCTAACAAGCCAGTTTTCATTGAATAATTCAAAAAAACCAGAAATGAATTGGATGATTCGTTTCATCAATTTTTGCCAATCATATGTAATTTGCATACACATTGTCGCTCCACATAACCAATTGGCGTTTGAACGAAATTGCAAAATTCATTTAATATTTTTACAAGTAATTTTAAAATAATTGTGACTTTAATACACCACATAACACGTGAAGCATTCACACAATTGCCGTCATTGTGGCATTCTCCTTTTTCCAACATAATTTACGACTAGTGGAACCACCAGCCAACAATCGAAAATCGAAGTAAAATACTTTTTTTAAGTGTGTGTGTGCGCGCGAGTACGTCGTTATACCGGTGGATTATTCAGTCGGTCAGCAACTAGCTAGCCGTTCACCGATTTGTCCAAATGAGTAGGCCCCTATGTTGCTTGTGATCATTAGTATGTTTACTCTATGGATATTTGGTTTTACTTTTATTTTTTTTTCTATTAAATTTTAGTATGTTTTTTTATTTTTGTTTTACAATTTTATTTCATAGGCTAAAACTTGCTGTAATTATTAACTGCAAGTTGTTGTTTTATAGGATTTTCGGGCAGCAACAGTCGACCGGCATATATCAGGTATATATTTTTACATGCACAAATATAAATATGTTTGTATGTAATTCCTTATACAACCACAAAACTATGCATTTGTAAGTGTATATGTATTTAATAAATACTCTCATTTTTAGCCTCTCACCAACCAGTTAACTGGACAGTGTATCAATGTGTCATTTCCGTGGATTTTGGTTATTACTAAGCAGGTTTTGCAGGATTTAGTGGAAACTTGTTTTGTCACTGTGTAAGTGGGAACCTGGAGACCTGAATATTATGCACATTACAAAAGCTGAATTGTAACATATTAAAAATTCAAAAAAAAAAAAAAAACAAATTAAGAAATTGTACCCATAGTATATACTTTAACGGTATTAATTGTATCGGTAAGGTCCTAATATGAGTCATTGCAAGCAACTAATAATCACATGTACTATTTTATAGCAAATAATTTGTTGAGTTTAATTATACTTAACTTATATTTAGCCTTTTTTAGAAATTTTTTTTAGACAACAACGTCATGCAGTTATTTATTTTGAAGGTATGTATGTATGCTTTGTAATATGTATGTATACATAGTAATAGCTTGAAAATCTTTCCGATGAGTTTTTTCATCATTGCATTTTAGCAAATATTTTACCTAAAAAAGCGATAAGCTCATGTTAAATGCAGAGTTTGCAGCTGATGGGGCTGCTCTTTTTCTAGCCTATTTGTTGGCTACGCAATTTGCTGGGATGTCCCTGTGACCAGAGATCCTAACCAAGAACGTTTCACATATAGTCGATAGTTTGTTTAAGGTTTCTCTGTCACCTCCGAGTTGGTATACAAGTAGAAGGAGCAAAGTAATGATGCACAGGCCTCTCTTCAAATGTCATTAAATCTTCATCAAAGCATGAAACATCACTCTGTTCCAATCACCATTTTTTCCAAAATTATAATTTGTTGAGTGGATGTTAAGTAATCCATTATTATTAATGCATGACTTTTAATTAAAATTAAAATATGTTTGGTTTGACAGTCAAGTTTATCAGTTGTCAATATACAACCCTGCACTTTTAAAACCATTAAATGAACACTCCTACAAATTTAATTTAATATTCTTTTGAAATTTGCTTAGAAATTATTTTAAACAGCCTTTCTTTAGAAATAGCTACGCAGTAAAGAGGTGGCCGCAATAAGCGTACTGCCATTCAGAGGACTCGGTTTCATGTCTTGGCTACACCAAATTCTAAAATTATTTTCTAATTGCCGTTGCCCCTCCGAGGGAAATGTCAGGCCCTCCGAGGGTATTTTTGATATGAGATAAAGGCACCCCATAACACACCATCAGCGTTCGTTGGCGGCTTAGTATGAATATTAGATCCACCCAATTGTCGGTAAATCATTATGGACCAAACCACAAATTGCAGGAAAGCTCGGCTGAATATCGCTTCTGCGGTTAAAAAGCGCCAAAAAATTTATAAAAAGTTCATTTATTTTCTTTCGTTAGATTTCCCCAAATAAACAATTATTTAGCTCTAAAACATCATTTAATTACCACTCCTCTCACTGGAGCGAATACTCGTACTTTTCATGACAGATCTACTTCACCTTTCAAACACTTACCTAATTGCAACAGAAATGAGTGAGAGTAAAGTAAAAGTCGCAAAAGAAAAACTAAAAGTCGTAATTTCGTGTACATTCAGTGTTTGTTGACATTTAGCATCATTTTAAACAATTAGCGTACAACAACAAAATCACAGGAAATGAATTGTAAACAAAATTCACACTTTGCACAATTCAAGCTGCATTCAAATGTATTCAAAGCTTACTTTAGTTAAATAAGCACGGCTAAATGAGCTTATGTATTTTTTTTATACTACACGTACTTACTCACTTACAGTACATATATTTTTCATATACACATGTATATACTATACATAGTAGTAAGTGTATTTATTCATGCCGTTACTAATTTCAACTCAACTACCTACCATGCTGATGTAACTATTGTAAATCGCTCGTGTCTACTTAATCTTATGCTAGACTTACCTTGCCATCAGAAAGCGGAATCTGTAACACATCTAATTCCTGGTTGCCGGCAGGCAGTGGCACCGCGGATACGAGCACTACAGCAACGCTGCATAGGCAGGCGGTGATTGCAAGTAACTGTTGTTGCCTCATGATTTAGAGCTGCTAGCAGGTATGTATGTGTTGGTTAAATCTGTGCGCTATTAGCGGTGATGGTTGACTGCAAATCAGTTGGTTAGACGCGTGTTCAGGGCTACTGTTTGAGCACTACTAAGCGTTTGTGTTGACTAAATTAGATACTGAAATGGGAAATATATAATATATATTTTTATAAGAGACATTTGATAACAACTATTTTTTTTTTAATTAAATTATTTCGGCTTTGTTTGGCAGAAACATGTACTTATATTTAAAATATAAAAATTTATGCAAAATTAGTAGATGATTAAAGTGAAAAACGTGTTTTGATTAAAATAATTTTTATCACACTGCTACCAAGCGAGTTTGGCTTGAAGATATGTTGGAAGAATAATTGTAGTACAAGATAAAACCAATATTTATATATGTACAGTTATTCTTCCAACAAATCCTCGAACCGGTAGCAGTGTGATAAAAATTAATTTAATCAAAACAAATATCAAAAAAAAATATATATATGTATTTATTCCACCAATTCTGTTAATGCATATAAAACCCTCATTTAAAAAAGTTGAATCTTAGAAACAAATTTTATAATTTATTTAAGGCCACTAATGATCGTCTACTTAAGAAGAAATTTATTCATTATATGAATAATTTTAATGTGTTCGATAATTTCTTTACAGGCCATATATTTATCGATTTTTGAAAATATTAACAAAGGTTGTTACAATATTCTCTCCTGCACCTACTGCTGTGAGAGGAGTTCATAAAGCGCCTTGCACATCTCTTTGCTGGGCTTTTCTAAACTCATTATGGTGACAACGAGTCACTGTCAAGTCTGGTAACAAATTATAGTAGTATATCCAAAATATTGACTTGTATGAAATTTCTTGAGAAAGTGGGCAAGAATAAATATTTTTTTGATTTTAAAGGCGAGCTTATGTAGCACCAGCTTGGTTTTGTTAGCGGTCGTTCCACTGCCAAAGCCTTCTATACTGTTCCGACCAGCAACTCAGCAGGGAAAAAGTAGACTAGTACGCAAAAATTATAGTTGAGTACTAGTACTTTGGAGGCAAGTATGATAATTTGTTATAAACCAGAATTATGCTAGTATTTAAAGGACATAAATATACTCGTTTGTCATGGACTAGAACTATACTTGTATCTTTCGGTAAAGTCTGGACTACTTTGTTAAATTCCAATATGAGAAGTAGATAAATTCATACCAGTTTGTCGTTTTAGAAAAAAAAAACATGACTCATAGTTAACTAGAAATTCCAAATACATATTAAACTTGCTGCTTGTTGTGGTATTTGCATTTAGGTTAACTGCATTAAATGATCTTAGGTAAGTTGAAAATAAACATTTTTGTTTTTGCAATACAGACTAGTCTGAGGCGAGTTAGTTTTCACCCAGTATTTCAGCGGATGCTTATGTACTGGTATATAACTAGTATGAAGCTGTTACATATACTGAGAACTGACAGCTCGTATGACATCAGCGAGCTAAATATAACCGTTATTTACATGGAAATTAGATGAAAGTTGGTGTAAAAATGTAAACCAGTTGGATTTTAGTTAATAACTAATATTTATCTCTGAAAGAATTTTTTGGTATTCAATCATCTTTCTGTCTTGTGCTCATAATTCTTCGATAGATTTTTTTTGTTCAAATAGAAAATACAAGATTTTATGCCTTTGAGGCGACCTCTGGAGTATCTCAAGGTGACATTTCTGGTGCTTTATTATGTCGTCTTTTTATAAAGGCACTTACCTTAAATATTCGAAGTTCTTGCGTTATGCAGACGATTTAAAATGATTTAAATGCATTAGTTGTAGTCATAACAATTTAGCTAATAAAAGCATTAGGAATAATTTGAACCTTCTCAAGGTTCCCAAATACACTAAAGACGCCGTATTATCTGCTTGATAATAGGGTATCTTCCATTAAGGAATTTTGAGATCTTTGTGTATTGCATGTTGTCAGATTTATCCACGCTAAACACATCAACTGTATTATACCTAAAGCTTATTCTAAGCTTTTTCTAACCTTACTTTCTTACGGTTGGTGGTTTGTTCAAAGCTGGAGTATACTAGTTTGCATGGAATCAAATATATTCTACATATCCCTCCAGACATGAAACCGTCCAACGTTGGTTTATTCGTTTTGCTCTAATTCCGCTTCACTTCTTAGATCACCTACTATCCTATTCTCTCCGATGTATGCTTACAAATCTTAAATCACTTGCTCTCCGAAGTCATATCCAGTCATTACTATTGACTTATGACATTATCAATGAATAAGTGGACTGCCCAGAGCTACTTGAGCACATCAGTTTTATTCATAGAATTTACCGTTCTCATTATCCATTTTATTTAAAAGTAATTAAAGCGAATTATCATAATTACGTTCTTATTGATAGAACAATCTCTGAAATTAATAGCATCCCAGGAAGCCTTGATCTTGATTTCGCATTCCCAAGATCTCGTTTTGTTTCTCTTATAGAATTTTCGTGCCACAGTTCAAATCCTGGTACGATCAACTTCCAAAAGTCGTAGAAAATTTATTTAAATAAAAAATCAAGTTGAATTTTCTAAATGCAGTTGTCCCTCGGCGTGGAATGTCGATCCCTCCGTATATATTTCTGACAGGAATTAAAGCCTCCTCATAAAACAGCTGTTCGGAGATGGCTTAGTATAAATTGTGGGAAAGGAATTAAAATGCACACCACAAATTGGAGGAGGAGCTCAGTAGAGAATTGTTCAGCGGCGACAAAGCGCCAATTATATATATAAGTAGTTTTAAGCATTTAATTTTTGCTAGTCACTAGCTATGTACACCATAGCTTGTAAGATTTTTAAAAATCATAGATTTTATAATAAACGAAATTAAATGAAATGAAATATATAATATTTCACATGTACATATATGCAAGGCTGTGGGATAATAGAAACATTCTAAAATTTGGGTTTGCATTCAAATCAACTCTTTAAAAAGAAAAGAAGATAAAAAAAAAATTAAACAAAAATATATTTTTTCCGGAATGGTGTAACAAAATATTCGGAATAGTTGTTTAAATATTATAAAAATATAATATGACCTTGAACTGTGTGTGACTCTTCAGTTTTCAATAAGCAGTAATTGAAAAAATACACTTTTTTTTGTTTGAAAGGCCAATCTAAAAACCTATAAATAAATATGTATTCATATGTTATATATATGTCTGTAGATAAATTCAGCTAAGCTCGTTTATTAACAACATTTTTCTTTGCTTACTTGTTTTGAATTGATTTCGTTTATGATTTTATGGAAATTAGTATATCGGAAATTAAGTTTTTAGGTAGATCAAGTACCATTCGACAAGCTCTTAAGGTGTAGAGCATTAACTTTTCGCTTATTGAGAAGGTCGACTAACATAAAACCGCAATCTATGCACAACATAAATATTTCCTAAAGTGGTTATTTTGGTATCAGATGTACACATATCTTTAAATATGTATACGCACATATGAATGTATAATGAGGGTATATGCATCAGTTAAATTAATATACAATATACCAGTATAAGCGTTCAGTTTACATGTGCTTGTGTGCGTGTATATACCCTGCAGGGAAAAGGTAGACTAGTAGGCGAAGATTCGAATTAAATACTGCTGTTTTGAAGACGAAATCATACTAGTGTGATGTAAACCAGAATTTTACTAGTATTTAAAAAAAAATATACTAGTTTGCCATTATTTTTAGTAAATTTCCGTTAGTCAAACTGTGAAAAAAGTAAAACTCAAAAGTAGCTGGAGCCACCGACCACGGCCAAGCTTCTCCTCCAATTTTTGGTTTTTGCGTTTTGATGTTTTCCCAACAAAAGGAGGGACCTAGAGTTATTCTAAGCCACCACCGAGCGGCTGATGATTTTTAGTAGGAGCTTATGATAAGCTCTACACATTATTTGGTTGGTATATATGAACTGGTATTCAACTAGTATGAAGCTGATGAGTTGACTAACAATTTACAGTTCGTAGGACATCGCCTTGCTAAAATACCACATGGAAAATAGATGGAAGATGAAATAATTGGTATAAAAATGTAAACTGAATTCTGGTTAACAACTAGTAGTTTTCCTTGCAGTGTATATTTAATTTTTGGTTATTGCTTTGACAAAAATATGCAAATTGCTTATGTCTACCTACCCGTATATTTATTAATATAGCGTATATACTAGACATTGAATAATAGAAATACATATATGAACCTCACAACAAATCGCTGGTATGGTGACAATAGCTCTCGCGCATGCGCTAGGTAAATTTAAGTCAAGTTCAACAAACAACAAAAAACAAAAATAAAAAAAAAACTAGAAAACAATTGTTATTAATTGTGTTCAGAATTTGCTAATGTACAATACATAACTGCTAAAATTTGCTAAAAACATACTGCACATCATGTCATTGCATATTTACATACGCAAAATGTATGAGCTGCATTATGGAATTTTTGACACTACCCACATTTAGTATTTGCATAAACATAATATATGGTATGGAAAAAATATTGTTTTTAACATTATTTTGAGTCACTTTCATTGCCTTTTAATCAGCTTTTGATCCGTTTTTTTATATCTCTTACGGTTTTGAAAAGATTTTCCGCTTAAAATTGTATAAATTAAGGCTGAAATACTCGTTTTTCTAGAGAAAACTACTCTTTTAACTGTATAGCAGTGCCGTTTAGTAAACAGTAAAAATAGACGATAACTTGAATTTAAATATCTTCATTTTATTTATTATGAAAACCTTATTTCAGTCTCACTCATTGCTACAGATAGTTTCAGATTAATGTTAATCAACCGTAGTTCAGGAAACCAGCCAAGTGCTGACCTTCACGGGTTCATCGCATCATTAAAGATAGTCAATTAACAGTTCACCATTAATATTGAGCGCTTAATAAGAGCATGATGTTGAAATATTAAAATTGAACTAGTTTAAATTAACAAATTTTTGAATGACGAAAATAAGCAAGCTGCTCTGGACATTCGAGTTGTCGGTTTAAAAATTCAGCAATATATTTCACACAGCATTTGAAATATTTCTAATTTTCCATTAATCTTATATTGCTTACGATTTTAAAACCAAGATATATTAAAAAATGTTATTACAAACATAAA